CTAAACCCCAAACCCTAAACCCGTCACTAGACGCGAACACCCTTTCAAACGCTCCGAAGATGACCCCCGCAGGCTCCGATATTCTTGTATCGAGTTCAACTGATGTTTTTTCACATCCGATTTTGACGCGAGTCGTAAGCCTTGCAAGAGAAACATCTAGGGTTTGGGGTTGAGGGATGTGCAGGGCCTTCAGGGTTTAGGGTTGCGATATTCAAAACAATCGCGCAACCACTTCAAGGATTTGATAAGTCTGCTTGCTCTGCGACATGCCGTCGTCTCGAAACTATCACCCCCCCCCCCCCCCCCCCCNNCCCCCCCCCCCCCCCCCTCCCTGCCAACCCGAAGCATTTCGCCCCTACAGCTCTTGCAGGCTGCTGTATGAGGGCCATGCGCACTACAACTCCCTGGCACCGCGAAGTTTCCTGGGCTGCATCGGCGACCAGGGGGGGGTTTGATGTTGGGGGGGTTCCTGTTTTCACGCTTTGGGGTTGGATAGGGCTTGTAGGGTTTCGTTCAGATCTATTTTACGGTGATGGTGATAGTAGGACTGGAATACAAATGAGCCAACAACTGTTTTGAACGTGGCCGCAGTGGCAGCCAGCCGCGACCACGAGTAACATCTTAACAACCATAGCAGGTGATCATCAACTCTATATGAAGAAACTTGTACGTCTGCTGCTCTAAACGACAGGCGAGAATCGCCGATAGCCTTGGACCCAAAGCCCTAAAGCCCAGACTTTCAAAGGTGGCCTTTGCCCCATTGCCCAACAGCTGCGGCCGGGGGAGATGGAGGAGCACACATGCCGAATGAGTAAGTTTTTTAATAATTAACAATAATTAATAATATATAATATTCAATAATATTTAACAATATTTAACAGATAATAATAACTAATAATAACTAATAATTATTAATAATCATAATTAATTAATAATCATAAGTTTTCGATCATGACTTTAAGGCTTGCTGAAGTCGTGGTGCCTTCGAAGCTTTTATACTAACACCTTATCGCGTTCAGAAGCGCTTCTATGGGCGAGGACAATAAGGGATTCATAAGGGCTTGGTAAGCGTTGGTATGGCTGCTCGCATAGCTGTTTGGGCCAGATGAGTACCTGCAACCTCTCGTGTCAGTCCAACTTTGCGAAACTCAGTGGGGCTGGCGGAGGTTTAGGGTTTAGGATTTGCTTCGTTGTTTGGAATTGTGTCAGTGGGCATATGTGGAATCTTACGGCCACAACCAAGCCTGGACCGAGCCTGTTCTGAAAAGCAGCAGCAGCAGCAGTTCTTGTTTTCTCAAGACCCGATAACCCAAACCTGAAACTCTGAACCCGCAACCTGAAACGCAAACCTATACTGCGATGGAGTAGCTTTCGTCTGCATGTGGGCGAGGACGCTGCGATCTGCAGATCCCGGAGGAGACATGAGGTGGGATTGCGATAGTAACGAGGTTGTCAAGAATGATAGCAGCGATGACCGCAAGTCGTAGTAGCGTAGCAGCATTGGCGTTATTGTACTTATTCCCACTATTGTCCGTCATGATTATTATTAACAGTATTACAGTATTTTTCATTATCATGTGTAGCAGTAGCAAAAATATTACGTGGAGTAGTCGTAGTAGTCGTAGTAGTAGTAGTAGTAGTAGTAGTAGTAGGCGTAGGCGTAGGCGTAGGCGTAGGCGTAGGCGTAGGCGTAGGCGTAGGCGTAGGCGTAGTCGTAGTCGTAGTCGTAGTCGTA